CTGTATTTTTTCTCCCCATAGCAAGAACCTCATGATAGATACCAGCATAATAAGAACATGTGGGAGAGGGATCATGTGATGAGACAGGAAACCAGAGAACAATTCAGGGGTCAAGCTCACTCTTTCATAATAACTCACTCTCTAGGGAAGTGCCAGGGTTTAAGAAGCACTGCCTTAAGCTCTTCTAGGGCAGCTATCTATGACCTAACTACCTCCCATTAGGCTCCACCTCTTAGAGGTTCTGCCACTCAATGTCTCCACACTGCTACTCTGAGGTCCAAACCTTCAACACATGAACCCTTCAAGGGACAAACCACATCAGAACCGTAGCACCTATTTGCGCATATGTGTGTGTTGGGGGTGCATGTGTATGTACACATACACACACATACAGGCACATACATCAAAATACGTACATGTGTACACCCATGTATATGTGTACTTTTATAGAGAATTCGTATTTCAAATTCCTGATTGTTATATCATGTGTGACAAGGTACGTTTCTAMTGCATTAACAAGACTTCTATTCTAGTTTAGGAAAATTTTTCTAACAATCCTCACCAAGTCTAAATTGAGCACAATATGGGTTAGAAATTTCAATGATTTCACACATTAAAATACTGTAATGGAAATTAATTTTTATAAATCATTTTTCCACTCTGTACCGTCTCTAATTTCAGCCTAGGGCCTTCTGTCCTTGGCTCCATTATTTAAATGCCCTGCTTTCATTCTTCTCTTGGCACCCACCCTCTGCTCACATTTCACAAGTAAATGTACCTACCTGAAGTCCTTGTTCTTTTTTTCACTTATTCCTTAGGATCCCAAAATGATGGAGTGGTGCTCACCTAGCCCCAAACGCAATAAGTGTCTGTCTGGGAATATGGACAGAGCTTAAACTTGGGGGCTTACATAATCTTGGAAGAAAATGTGAAATCACACTGATTTCAGCACAAGTTTGCAACTGAATTTACTTCGTTTCATCTAAAATTATGTCTAGCAGTTTCTAGCTCTTCTAGACAGTTTGAATGTTTCCAAACCTGAGATACTTCCMTTTCCTATCCAGGTGGGCATTTAGGGGATTGTGTACAAATATTGAAAAGAAACAAAGGGTGAAAAAAACAAAAAGTTTTTGCTTTGCTGAAGCAGTTTAATAAAAACTAAATATGGGTGGTATTCTTTCAGAASCCTATGGGAAAATGTGACATGGTACCGGGGAAAGATATATGCTTCCCCTATCAGCTCAGAACCCACTACCACTTTAATATCTTAAAAATGCCAAAACTTAGAGCATCAAGTGATAACATTCTGGGCATRGATCCAAGAGATCAAAAGGGAAACTTTGGGGATAGAGGAATGAAGTTTGTTTCAACAGTCTGAATGCAGCAGGTATTAAGTAAAACAGGAAAGCAAGGGAACACAGCTTTGCCAGATGCTGCAAGATGATTTGAAACAACCCATTGATGACTTCAAGAAATAACTAGGAAACTCTTTAGAGATCTAGATCTAGAGATCTAGCTTGTGAGGTTTMTAGTTGGCATTTGGATATTAAGCAATGAAAAAGAAAACAATGCAAAGGCAAATGATTATTTCCTTGTAGAAAAAAAATGCAAACGAGTTGTGTTGCAGAAGAGGAATCCTGAGCTTAGGGAAAGCAAATCTATATTGGGCAGTAAGTCTGCTTGACCTTWTCTTTATTATAAGGAATAGAAACATAATTTTTATTATGCTGCCCAATTAAAAACCAAACCAAAATAAAACACCTGCGTTTTGCTCTGATGGTAGATACCATATCTTCCAAGACTCTTCACTATACAAACATCCTTGAAAAAATAGTCCTAAGTAAAAGCAGTCAATGCCTTTACTTATGTGCAACAACACAGGGATTCATGGAGAATTGTCCCCCAACATTCCACTGTTATTTGCATTTTAGGTAAACCAGRAAAAAATGTAATTATCAATTAAAATGAGACATTATTTCATCTAACTTTTAACAATGAATATATTTATAACCTTATCACCAAATCATGCAAACAGGCATATTTTTTTAAAGAATTTAACCTTTTGCTATTGGGCCCAGCTCAGTGGCATATGCCTACAATCCCAGGCTGAGGCAAGTTCAAAAGCCAGCCTCAGCAACTTAGAGAGACCTTGTCCCCAAATGAAAGGTAAAAAAGGGCTGGGGATGCAGCTCAGTGGTTGAGGACCCCTACGTTCAATCCCTAATACCAAAAATAAATAAATAAAAATAAAAAATAAAGAATTTAACCTTTATTTTATTTATTTGTTTGTTGTTTATTTGTTTTTATGTGGTGCTGAGGATCGAACCCAGGGCCTCACTTGTTCTAGGCAAGCATTCTATCACTGAGCTACAACCCCAGCCCCAGGAATACCTTTTTATAAATATAAGAATATGTGTTGACTGTGATTAMTATATTGATCTTTGTATTCTGATTCAGCAGAAAACGGGTGTCAATAATCATTTTATCTAATAAATATTTTTTACTCAAAAGATAGCATCTAGACTGATCATGGAATGATTCAAGACAAATTTGGAAGAATTTTTAAACGTATGTAGGTTTCCTCGCACATTTTCCACTGAAAAGTTCTTTAAAAATGATTCTATTTCAACATCACCATAAGAATCTTCAACTCTGTAAACAATTCATATTACCTGTACAGGAAAGTGTAACTAAACAACATGAAATTTTAACTGAACTTTCAACTTGCTCATTTACTTGCTTTGTTGAAGAAACTGAGGCCCAAAGACATTAAGTGCTTTGGAATTGGCCAACAACTAGTTAAAGTCAGAGCTGAGATTAAACCCCACAAGCCCTGACTTGGAGCACAGGCTCTTTCTTCTGATCCAACCCCACATATATGATATGATAGAGCTTTCAAAAGGGGGTATGCATCCCCCCGCAGCAATGGCAGCAAGCCAGGGAGGTAAAGCCACAGGATAAACACAGGGTGTCTTGCTTCAGTGTAAATATTACTCAAAGATTTGAGGAGAGTTAGATGAACCACTTTATTTTTATATTAAAACAAGATTGATTGCAAAGGAGAATGTACATTTTACATAAATTCTTAAAACCTCAGGCTGCATTCCTCAGGCTATAATCCCACCCTATGGAAGTTAAAATTTTCTGCTCACTCTGCTAGTGACACTACTTTGGTAAAAAATTTAAACCCCCAGTAAGAGGATATCTGGGAAGAGTCTTTACATAAAAAGTATATTCATTAACCTTTGTCCTTGACATCCTATGGTTAAGTTTGCATTATTTTAGCCTTCATGATCATTAAATTGTAAATTATTMTTGAAATGAGAACTCATTAAGACCTTAGAATAAAAGAGTTTCTGAGYTGCTTTCCCAAGAAGAGGTTTCGTTGTGTAGGCTTTTAAAAAAAAAATATTTCTATCTTAATCAGTGTAACATGAAAAGATTTAAAAATAAATAAAGGATGAATTTTTAAAATGTGATTTTTATAGAAAATATAAAAATAGTTTACTTCTGTTAGATGTCTATAAACCTATTATGATTGTGGTCTTAAAAATTACATTTGTAAAAAGTTGAATAAGTACTATGCATTTCCATTGTCAACACAGCACATTCATGAATAATATCTAAAATGCTATAACACACCTTAACTACAAWCATGGAAGAGGCCAATAAATTATTTAATATACTTTCTCAGTAGACCATTCCTCTTGTCTGATTTTTATTTCCCTGATTAAAGACTATTTAAATGATAGTTCTCAGATGATTACTCCCTTCATGATAACTTAGAGRACTTTTAACCCCACCCAGACCCAAATTTCTTTTAGAAGAACTGAAATAATATATTCTTGCTTTCTCCACTATACTTGCTTTTCACCAACACTATAATGCAACTAGTTTAACCCATTTTAAAAAAGCTAATTGCAAAATTCCAGGTTCAAATTTGGAAACTAGACACCAACTCATTAAATTCAATTAACATTTTTTAAAACAACATTGTGTTAGGCTCTAGTATAATACAGGGATGTCATAAACAGTATCCAATCTTAAAGTTACCCCAGCAAGAGGAGAATAAGATTCAAATAAGATTTAAATAAGATTATAAAACAATCTTGACAGAGGTTTCAATATAGCTAGGTGGAGAACAATCAATTGTAAAACGTTTTTCTTCTTCTCTTTCTCCTTTTTTTTTGGTAAAGGTTARAAGGACTGGCAAAATAATGTCTCAATGTATCTGTTTTATACCAGAGAAAGGACATTTCATCTACTGAATCAACCTGCTTTTTCTCTTGGCCAATAAAATCAACAGAATTTCATTTTCTGTGCACTTGGAATCTTGGGGAACCTTAATACTGCCACCCCTTCCCCTGCCAGTTCTGGGTCTATGATGAGGCAAGGGGAGGCACTGGCCTTGGTGCAAAATGTAAGGGACACCAAAAACTCAGCATTTAAAATAAATATCTTAATACAATATTTTTAAATCAAAATGTATAAAAAAATCCATGATGAACCAAATGTCTGATTTTAAGACAGAATCAGTGGTAGATGTTTTTATCCTTTTGCCTTAAGCTCCCCTATCTCCACAGGGGAACCGCTACTCGCCAATATTGCCCAGGAGTCACGAGACGTATCTAATTTTCAGAAACCTAAATTTTCTGATATTATTATTTCAAATCAATGAAACTATCCCTGAGTGGCTCGTTCAGGCCCTCTGACCCAAGCYTGGCTTCAGGCATTGACTCTTTCTGTGTTTGCCACAGGTGTCGCCCGAGCATCATCCTAGCACAGAGGTGTGCTGTGGTATCACACACATAAACGTCACTTCACACATAAACGTCACAAAAGTCAGGGTTCGGCTTCACATCTTCTCTCCTTGGGATTGGCTTTAGGTCGACYGGAATGCCTAAACTCTTGGTGACAGAACAATGAACCGCAGGGCCAGCCATGTGGACTACTGGTGCCACTGATCGCCCATTTTCCGGAYGACCTGAGACCTAAGCACCATGTCCCGCGCCTTCCAGTGCTCCAACAAATCTCCGGTCCCCGAAACTGCGCTACAGAAGAGTCTTCGGGTAAGCAGCGCCTCCCTTCCGAGAAAGACTCSCAGGACAGCTAGGGGCTGCTCCTGGGGTTCAGGTAGAAGGGGGTCCAGCAATTGTAAACGCCACCAAGTCCCTCTACCTGGACTAGAGGTCGAAAATGTCCTGGGTAGAGTTTGGGATCTGCCAGAGATCCATACTGAAAGACATTGACGTTTTCCCGCTCGATATCTACTCTGTATTTAATTAGGGTGATTTAAAGACTTTCAGGCCAGGAATTTTGAACTCTTAAATCTCACATATATTTGTATGTGTGTGACCCCTGATAATGTTGATTCCCTGAAGTACAAATAAACAATTGAAGAGGACAAATTCTTTGAGGGACAGAACAAGCAAAGTTGAGAGCAATTAAGATGATGGCTTAAGGAATATCTAGGGGCAGGGTGGGGGTGGGGAGATCTCAGTATCGGGCAACACAGGAGCTAGCAAGGCTTCCTAAAGTTCTCAGACCTGAGAGGCTAGGGGCTACTATGATTCATGAAGAATGAGAGTTCTGGAATGTATTGAAAGCCACTCATGCCGAGTGCTAACTGGTGGGGTGTGTTGCATGTTGGTGTAGGAATTAATCTTTAAAAGGGATAGTTTCTTCTATAGACTTCAATACAGACTATTCTAGGATTGAATAATCCTACAGTTTTAAAACCTTTTTCTGTTGACTCTTGATTCTAAGGCATTGGGCAATGGAGGAAGTTGTTGTTTTCTCCCTATGCTAGAATTGTCCTCATCCCGGTTCTGTGTCGGATTRTTTTTATTTTCTTGTTGTGTTAACCAATTAATTTGAAATCTAATTTCCCCCCTCAAGAGGCTACTGAAATTGGTCTCCAAATTCAATACCTTTTCTGAGTGACATCCTCTCTCACCCAAGTGCAATCCTGCAGACTTAAGTTCTATCTTCTTGAAATCCGGTCTCAGGGGTCCCACTGCCCCAAGATCTCGCCCTTAACTTTACAACCACCTCTCCTCTATCTCCACACCCAGCTTGTTTCCTTCCTCCTCTCACTGTAAGTAGACACTTCACCATGATTGCACTTGGGTCCCACTCTCTCCTGTGGACTGACAGGACTCACCAGAGCTTCAAATCYACCTTGATGTCTCTGAGATCTGCTTTCACACTTGCAGCTTTCTGGTGGAGGCCTTGACTTCTACGTTCCATCAGGGCCTCCGTCTCAGCATTTCTCAGCCAACTCTATCTTCCCTCCAAGCCTAGTCACCTTTCTCATCATCAAGTCATCACATCATGAGCATCACCAATGACTTCTCTTGCCCTTGCAGAACCTCCATTTGCCTGCTAGTTCCCACCAATGCCCTCTATTCACACCATATCATATTTATTCTCTACTTATTCTCACTTGCCATCGCCCTGGGGCAGGCTCATTAGATATGATCTGGATTTTCTAGAGGTGGCCTTGCTTGCTGTCTGCAGCTATCTCTGCACCCCAGGCCATCATATACCTTGTTGTGAAAGGCACCTTCCTGAAGCCTAGCCTGCAACGTCTTCTCTCATGTTCAGAAATCCTGCAATATATCCCTATTGTTCCAGAATTGAGTCAATGCTGAATTACCCAATACTTAATTAAGTCCATGCTTTTAGAGTATCAACAAAACAAGGGCACCAAGAGAGAAAGAGGACAAATGTTTTTGAAATAGCTTCACATTGGATACTGTTTAAAAGCATTGATGTGGTTGTCATGGGAAAAAGCAGAATTTTCTTAGATTTTACTATGTATTTAATCCAAGTGCATGGGTGTGTGTGTGTGTGTGTGTGTGTGTGTGTGTGTGTATTTCATATATGTGTATAGAACACATAAAACTAAGTTAATTTTAAACTATAGTTTATGACATAGTTTTCCTATGTTCATATATGAATATACCACCAGTGAAACTTCCACATCATGTACAGTCACAAGAATGGGATCCTAATTAGAGTAAGTTATACTCCATGTATGTATAATATGGCAAAATACTGTCATGTATATCTAAAAAGAAACAAATAAAGAAATTATAAGTTTTCTTAAAATATGTAGACTTCAGTGAGAGTTCTCCAAGCCTGTAAAAGTATTATTTGGGCACTGATTAAGCACACKTATCCAAGCCTAAATTTCAACATTAGCTCTCATAATATAATGCAAGCCCACCTTTCTTAATTTATTTCACGGTTGCTTTCCACTTGCCTTTTCAGCCAGAGGCCACACAGCACCACACACCTCATAATTTCTTTCTTTTGTGTTCTTACTCTCTTCTTCCACCAACATCCTGTTTCTTTTCTTCTCACCCTTTATGGATCTGCCTGTTGATCCTGCCCTGAAATCTTCTCATAGTGCCCAGACTGACAGGAATTTCTTCTTCTTCTGAATTTGCCAGAGCATGTTTTCCCTTTTCTTACGGCACTTCATATTTGCAACCTTCTTTTGTAGCATTCTATGTTTTTTTACCTCCCCTACTAACAGATTTGTTCATAAAGAACAGGCATCTTACCTAATTTATTCTCCAATTTACCAGCTGGTCACAGACTAAACTAGTCACAACCTGGATTAAGTGCTCAGTASTTTGACTGAATAAATGGCTGAGTGAATAGGTTTGGACCTACTATTTAAAATATGTTCATCTTAAAGAATGCTTGTGGTATGCAGTCACTGTAGAAAACAGTATGGAAATTCCTCAAAAAATTATACATAGAATTCTATATGATCCAGCAATTCCATTACTATTTATTTACTCAAATAAGTGAAAGACTCACAAAGATCTCTGTACATCTGTGTTCACAGTAGTATTATTTGCAACAGCCAAAAGGTAGATCAAGATCAACCCAAGTGTCCTTTGACACATTAATGGGTAAAGAAAATGTGGTAGATAGATAAAAATGAAAAAAGTTCTGACACATGCTACAACATGAAAGAATCTTGAAGACAATGCTAAGTGAAATAAACCAGTTGCACCCAGACGATTCCACTTGTGGGAGTCCCTAGTCAAACTCAGAGACAGAAGATAGAACGGAAGGCTCCAGGGGCTGGAGGGAGGAGTGAAGGGAGAGTAGGTAGCCTCTGGGTGCCGAGCCTGTTACAGAAGATGAAAAGTTGTGATATGGAAGACAGTGATGGTCGCTCAGCAAGGCAAATGTGCAACATGGGAATACACTTGATGCCACAGAACCACAAACTTTAAAATGGTAAATCCCTTGGTGGGTGCATTTTACCATTGTTTTTAAAAATAGGGAAAGGGTGCTCATTGCGTGCCTTGAGATGAAAACATGCAACCGAGTAGCTGTGTGTGGGTGGGAACCAGAACTGATTCTCCACAGTTTGGCTGAAACCTGAACTTCTTGGTACAATTTCAGGTTTCTTGGCACTTTAACATTCATACTTTGTACTAGATCCACACAAAATTGTTGGCTGGAAAGAAGCATGCCAGGATTCAAAGTTGAGTGAATAATTATACCAGTGATTTACATATACTGCTGGTATTTTCCATTTCCCCTTTTGTCTCCTCGTTTTCTGAATCTGATTTAAATCCTTTTAAATATTTATTATACAGCTAAATTTGTCAAAATATGTATTGTTTTCTGATGATCAAATTAATATGTGCTTATCACAATAGTCAAACATTTAAAAATATATTACCTTGAGGCACGATGGCATGTGTCTATAGTCCTGGCTACCTCGGAAACTAGGTCGGAGGACTGCATTTCAAAAAAGAAAAAAAAAAAAAGAGAGAAAAGAAAATGAAATTTCCTCATGTTTTCAAGTGATGATTTTTGCTAACAATTTGGAATGTGTGCATTTTGTGTGTACATAAGTGTTATTTTGAAGAAAAATATTGCTGTACTTAAACAAATTATAATGACAATTACTTCTTAAAAATGTTTTGGATATCTTTCTGTGTCTTGATATCTATCTTGTGTTAGGGTTCTCCAGAGAAACAAAACCAATAAGATAAACAAATACGTAGAATGATTTAGGACAAGGGATTAGATAACTAGATTTTGAAGTCAGAAGTTCTGCAGTCTGTCTTGAAGCACGAGACATGAAATAAATACACCATCCCATTTATTGATTTTTTTTATCAGACTAAAAAACTTCACAGCAAAAGAAATAATAAAGAGCATGAAGAGAGGGCCTACCGAATGGGAGAAAATCTTTGCCACCACACTTCAGATATGGCATTAATTTCCAGAATATACAAAGAACTCAAAACCTTAACTCCAAAAATAAACAAACAAAAAACAAATAATCCAATCAATAAGTGGGCTAAGAAACTAAACACTTCTCAAAAGAAGAAATATGAACAGTCAAAAAATACATGAAAAAAATGTTAGACATCTCTAGCAATTAAAGAAATACAAATTACAACTACTCTAAAATTTTACCTCACGTCAGTCAGAATGGCAAAACTATCAAGAATACAGAAACAATAAATGTTGGCAAGGATGTGGGGAAAAGAGTACACTAACACATTATTAGTGAGTACACTCACAAATTGGTGTAACCATTATGAAAAGCAGTATGGAGATTCCTCAAAAATCTAGGAATGGAACCACAATTTGACTTAGTTATACCACTTCTCAGCATATATCCAAAGGAGTTAAAATCAGCATACTACAGTGATGCAGCTACATCAATGTTTATTTCATCTCAATTCACAATAGTTAAACTATGGAGCCAACCTAGGTACCCTTCAACAGATGAATGGATAAAGAAAATGAGGTATATATGTACACAATGAAATATTACTCAGCCAAATGGTTGAATCTGGAGACTCTCATGCTAAGTGAAATAAACCAATCCTCAAAACCAAAAGTTGAATGTTCTCTCTGATATGTGGATGCTAACACACAATAAGGGAGGGGAAAGAATAGATATTCAGTACATTAGACAAGAGGAAGAAGGGAAGGGAGAGGATAGGTATAGGAAAGACAGTAGAATGAATCTGACATAACTTTCCTATGTACATATACGAATGATACCACAGTGAATCTCCACATCTTGTACATCCAACAAACTGGGATCCTAATTTGAATAAGATATACTCCATGTTCATATAAATATGTCAAAATTGACTCTACTATCATGTATAACTAAAAAGAACAAATTAAAACAAAAAGTCCGATACGATAGTCTTATGTACACAAGCTGGAGGCCTAGAAAAGCCAGTGGTGTGATTCCAGTCTAAGACCAAAGGCCTGAAACCTGGAAGTTCTGATGTCTACCCACAGAATAAAATGGATGCCCTTGGTTGGGCATCCAGAAGAGAAAGTGAGTTCATCCTTTCTCTGATTTTCTCTGTTTTGGTTCTCAAAGGTTTGGATGAAGCCCTTACCCCGCCCCCTGTGCCATGTTATTGAGAGTGAACTACTTTACTCAGCCTACCCATGCAAATGTCAATCTCTTCTATGTCAATATCTTCTGGAAATATACTCACAAACATGTCCAGAAATGATGTTTTGCTAAGCATCTGGGCATCCCTTAGTTCAGTCAAGTTGACACATAAAATTACTCATCACACCATTTCTATAGTTTTTAAATTTCTGCATGCACAGTACTCCTTTGTGAGGYCACACTTTAATCTGTATTCCAATTATTGAGACTATTTCACAAACACAGACAAGGTAGACAGAAATGAACAATAATATTCACATTTTGGTGTATATATACCTGTGTATTTCTGAGTAATAGATATGGGCTGACTGATGAAATTAAAAGTACATTTATAAATTTAACAGTTAACTGCAAATTTTAAACTCTACTTTTACCAGCCTTTGTCACCCAAACACTTTGGAAAATTGTGATTAGCAATACACAGTAGAGACTGGGAATTTAGATGTTTAAAATCCCCAGATGAGAATAAGCCTGATCCAGGGAGTTTTTCCAAGATTCAGGTTATGTCACAGGATAACAAAATACCCTGATAGGAATACTTAGGCCTGAACCTGTACATTCCACAAGCTCCTAGATTCAGCTTGTTTAACAAGGAATCAAAGTAAGATTGAAACTATACTTATGCAGCTGCCTTCCATCTCCAGTAGACCTACCTTCCTTACTTCTTTAAATATTTATTCACCCCACTAAATTTAACTGTTTTTCTAAAGTTCTCTACTAAAGAGCAAAACCATTCTCAGAATTTTATAAATCACTTGCTGACATTACAACCCTACCACCCACAACAAATCCTAGCTGAAATTTGGTGATTGTTTTGATTCTGATAATGACAATGTTTTTTATGTTCCAGAACCACAAAAATAATTCCTTTACCTTTCCTTGTGTCTCGTTAACTTTACTCTTCCATGGCAAATTGTAGATAGGCTCTAATTTTTCCATATCATTTTAGGTCATGTGGACTACAAATGTTCTTTCCTAATTTAGCAAAATGTTCTTTTTATAATTTCTAAATATAATTTTATAATTTATTTTATAATTTATCAAATGTTCTTCTTCTTCCTAAAAAGAAGAAGCAAAGCCCTTTTATAACTGTTGCTGGATTTGTATTTTCAAAACAAAACCTAGGGAATAAAAGTTGCTTCTTCACCCAAAACTCCCACAGTATGAGTGTGTTAGTGACTCATGAAAAATGAAGACGCTGTTGCTTACCAACCAAGGGGAAATATATCTATTCATTTGTTCAAAGAATCATGACATCTGTTCACTCGTTTATTCATTTGTTTGACACTTGCTGTGAACTTCCTGGGTGCCAAGTATAATGTGATAGACAATAAAGAAGAATCTTCAATAGCGTTATACATTATATCCTGCACCCTCTGCCTCCAACCCAATACTATGTCTTTCATAAGTATGGGAAACCTATCTAATACAAATACTTTATGTTTGAAGGAGCATTTTAGAATAATTATTTAAAGGCCAAATTATCCTGCCTCAGACAGAATCAAAAAGTTGTTTGGGGTATATATGTATACATGCACTTTTTTTTTCTGATTAAAAATTATTTGCACATCTGTGCCCAGAACTTAAAATAATGAAACTCAACCACAAAAAATGAGCAAATAATATATAATTGCAGTGCTGGAGTTCATCAGTTTAGAGTGGCTATTGGATGCTCACCTTCCTTTTGATCTTCTTGTAGACGTATTGTTATTGACTGCAAATGTCTCGGTACTTTTGCCCACTGGAATGTGGCTTGACAGATTAATTATATGTTACTAGGCAGTTGAAGATCAACTAAAGATGTGTGGCCACAAGAGAGATGTTGATGTCTTTGAGCTGTTCCTTTCTCAAAAGTAAGTGTAATTGATATTAAAAATAAAATAAAATAAAAAACAAAAGTATTATGTTATAATCTTTCATAGGTTCAGTTCCCCTACCTCATGGACTGGGTAGGCAACTGCATCCAAATTATTTTACCCCTTGTTGGGGCTCACCAATTCCATTGAATTAGCAAGATACTAAGAGAGATCAAAACAAAGAATATTGAGCCAGGCCCAGTTTGAATTCCAGCTCTATCCTTCCAGCTGTGTAATCTTGGGTTATTGTGTAAACTCCCTGTTACGATTGTCAGATTTAGCAAATAAAAAATATATACTATTTAATTAAATTTGAATTTTAGAGAAATAATGATACAATTTTTAAAATATATTTCATACAGTATTTGAAACTTCTTTTTGTTTCTATGAAATTCAAATGTAATTGGGTAGCCTATATTTTATCTAGCAACCCTATTTCCTGTGAGTACTAATACTCCTTAGTCATGGGGTTGTTGTGAAGATTAGGTGAGTTAGTAGAAGTTAGAAGATCTGGTATCCAGGTCCTCAATTATCATTAGTCCAGTTAATATTGTTATTATCATCATCATCATTAGGAATAATAGCCCATTACACTCCTATATTATAATAAAACTTATTAAATACTATAACTCTTAACAACCTTAATAATTTTGCTACTAAATAGGAAAATCCCTTCCTTATATCAACAACCCACTTTGATTCCAAATAAATTCTCTCCAAGGTGGTAGATGACAAAGTAGGTTTTTCTGTAGGTCAGTCACAGTACCTCAGAACCTAGGTATGAGAAGAGGAAGTTACGGATAGGATTGTAGTGTGACACTAACATTTTTAGGCCAATAAGTGAAATCCTGTACAGGCATAACTTTTATTTAATAGCAATGACCCTTTGCTGGTTTGAATATGACCCCCAAAGTTCAGATGTTGGAAACATAATCCCTGATGAATCACCATTAAGAAGTAAGACCATTAAGAATTGATTAGGTCACAAAGGCTCTGCTTTCATGCATAGATTAATGTCATTATCACCACACTGGATTAGTTATCTCGGGAGTAAGTTCCTAAAACAAAAAATGTACTTGGTCTTCTCCCACTCCCCCCACACCATGTGAGCCATTCCACCATGTTATGATTCAACAAGAGTCTTTGCAAATATAGGGACATTGACCTTGAACTTCCCAGTGTCCAGAATTGTAATAAATAAATTTTGGTTCTTTATAAATTACCTATTATCAGGTATTCTGTTATAACAGCACAAACTAAACTTTAGATACATACTATTTTACCCTTCATTCCTCCCTCTTCCCCCAGTAGTGAGGATTGAATCCAGAGGTACTCTATCATTGAACTATACCCCTCTTCCCTTTTAAATTTTATTTTGTGATAGGATCTTCCTAAATTGCCCAGATTGGCCTTCTATCTCAGCCTGCCGAATCCTTGGGATTTTAGGCATACACTACTGCACCCAGCTCCCCTTAGTGATCTTTAATGCCTGCAAATTCTATGTTTTAAAAATAAGCTTTACATACTTTTACTAATATGTAAACAAGAGTAAAACTCACTTTTTTGGTAAACAAAAAAAAAAAAAAAACCAACAACCTGGTTTATCATTTATCAGTGAATTAAATAATTTTATCTCTGGTGATTTGAGGAAATACTTCATTAGTGAACATATTTCTTTTGTTCTAAAAAAAATTTGTTTTTAATTTACTAGTATAAAAGAAAATTATCTTTATAGTGGCTCTGAATCTTTTGGTAATAAGGGAATAAAGAGATGACCAATTTGAAATCTTTAAAACACGTTTAGTGTGGAACAAAAGAGACATAGTAGAGATTTCTGACACACGTAAGGTCATTTTTAAAAAAAATATTATAGTTGTTGATGGATCTTTATTTTATTTGATTATTTATATGTGGTGCTAGGAATTGAACCCAGTGCCTCATACATATGAGGCAGATGCTTCATGGCTGAGCTACAACTTCAGCCCTTTAAGGTCATATTTTGAGCCTTTCAATAGATCAGTTAGTTTTACAATAATGATAAATAATTCATGTGGTCAAATGATTGCATGTCTAAACTTTCATGATTTTGAAAACTGTTCATTATTGATCACTAGGGTAAGTAGATAAAAAGAATAGCTTTAAAACACTAGAAAAATAAGAACTATTGATCCCCTGAACGTGGTTTTCTTGTGTGAAGGACAATACTTTTTATATCTCCAGAATACTAAATTACCATTTTGGGGGACAAAAAATATTTCACAATTCAGAGGCCAATAAACTAGGTTTACTGCATTATTTGCCCTTGGAAAATGGAAAGCATCTTATCAAAATCTCCTTGAATAATCACAAAAAAATATGCATGGTGACATGTGTTGATATGTTATTGTCAGCATGAGTCATGGCGATTTTTAGCAGGAAAACTACCTCTTCTTGTCTTCTGTTGCCACCTCCTTAAAATGTTAACAGATCATTATTGATTTAGGACAGGTTATATGCAGAATGTACCTTTCCAACTCGAAAGAGTTAAAGTACTTTTAAAAAGTGAATTACTTTATTATGTCCTATAATAGCTGGAAATTCAACGTTGATATTTCTACTAGAAGAAAATTAATAGCAAGCTGGACAGGTGGCAGACACCTGTAACCTCAGAGACACGGGAGGCTGAGGCAGTAGGATTGTGAGTTCTAGTTTGGCAACTTAGTAAGACCCTTTCTTTTTTCTTTTCTTTCTTTTTTTTTTAGAGAATTTTAATATTTATTTTTTAGTTTTCGGCGGACACAACATCATTGTTCGTATGTGGTGCTGAGGATCGAACCCGGGCCGCATGCATGCCAGGCGAGTGCACTACCACTTGAGCCACGTCCCCAGCCCAGTAAGACCTTTTCTTAAACTAAAATAATAGAAAGGGCTCGGGATATATATCAGTGGTAAAGCATTCCTGAGTTTAATACCCAGTACCACAAAAAATTAATAATAATAACTTGACACAGTTTATATATTAAAGTACTAATGTGTTAAAATGAATTTTATAGTCAATTTCCTAAGAGAGGCTTGAGATCCTTTGAAGCCACCATGTAATGCTTGTTTTGTTATTTGTCATGGAAAGAGGTGAAGTTAACACACTATCATCATTGCCCAATGCAATAGTTAAAGTGCATTGAAGACCAAGTGCTCCTTCCCAGAAATTATTTATAGGTCTACATAAAGAGAATGTCTTAAGTGTGCAAATTTCCCATTGAAAGTGGCTTTGGAGGAAGCTGAAATATTCTGCTGGGCCAAGGTAATGTTCAAAGACCATGGTACTTGTCAAAAAGACACAGGAGTTTGCTTGAAAATCTTCAGTCTGGTGATTACAGAATTTTTTTTTAAACTGACAAAGAATTTTTTTAAAAAGCTCTTAAAATCCAGAGAGGATGGGAAAGAGAATGAATGATAGAAAGAAGAGAAAAGGCTGGGGATGTAGCTCAGTGGTAGAACAATTGTCTCACATGCACAAGGTCCTGAGTCTAATCCCTAGAGCTGTATAACAGGTGGGGGGGCAGAAACATCTATCAGAAGAATTCCAGCTACCTACATGTAAAAACAATAAAAACACTAGAAAAACCTTCTTTTATAATTTWAAAAAAAACTATTGATTATGGTAAGGATCATCAATTGAATCTAAAACCATTGAGTAAAGAGTTGTTTGAGGAAAAAGATATACACGTGGGATTATAGTTTGGTCCCATGTATTACTTTTCAATTTTAAAATACAACTAGCAGATAACATCTTAACCAAGTGACTGAACTTAGCTTTACCAAGAGTGGGACAAACTGACATCGTTTGTCTCCTGAAGTGATGTAGTGATTTAATTATCTCTGATGTAACTGAGAAGTCATCTATCTTGAGCTTCATCATTAGGAGATGATGAGATAAATCAAGGGTGTGGTGTGTTCCATCAGACAACTGTGATGGACTTTTCAAAAGGTCAAAAAAGGGCAGAAGATGACTTATCTAATTTTAAAAGAACTAACGAGTTAAGGCACCTGAATGCAAGATACGAATGTTGATGAGATTTTGGATTTAAACAAACCTTATAAAAGATATGTAGGTTCATGGGAGAAATATGAATATGAATGATAGATTAGATGAGATTATTGAATTATATTCAATCTTTTTAGGCATAATAATAATATCGAGATTTTGTTGAAGACTGTCCTGTTTTGAGGATATGTGTACTAAACTATTTAGAATGAGAATATAGAAAACTATAATAATATTTTATTTTCAAATGATTCACCAAGAAAATTATCCCCATTAATATGGGTGTATGTTAGATAAATAGAATATGAAAAAAATATGGCACTATGTTAAAAATTATGAAGGTCCTACAAGTGTTCATTGAACCATTCCTTCAACTTTTCTTAGGTTTGAAATCTTGATACAAAAAGTTGGTAAGAAAAATTTATTTCATTTAAAATATTGTTTGTATGACTTTTAAAATATATACAGTTTCAAAAAACRTTGGGAAAATTTTAGTCCTGCAGTGTCCTAAGGTTAAAAATATGTGAGAATAGGGTTGTGATATAGTTCATTGGTAAAGTGCTTGCCTAGCATGTGAGAGACCCTGGGTTCAATCCATAAGACTAAAAAGAAAAAAAAAGAAAAGAATATACCATGAATTAATATATAATAATTAACTTTAGTAACCTTAGTATTTTTAAAGGTTTTTCATAAGTTCCTGTTTCTCATATGCTCTGTAAGTTTTGATAAAACAGTATGTGCTACATAAGTGTTTGATGAACACAAAGGTCTTCTGTGTATACATAATTGAGACCTATAATTTCTGCTCTGAGAAATAAAATGAACTGAAAACTCCCGGCCACAGCAGTCAAATGGCCAATGCTCCTCAGAGGTGTTGCCCACTTTTTCTGTTAGCTCCCGTGCTCACCCATCACCTGCCATTTTTTAAAATAGACTGCATCATCGACCATGATCCGGATCACTTGGATAGCTGGAGTCCCACATAGTGCAAAAGGGAAAGGTAACATATTGAACCTACTGTGACCAGCACTCTGGTCAGCTTCTGTCCTTTGGCATCCTGCAATTTCATCTCCTAAGCCCATTCTGCCGTCTGCCAAGATCAGGACCAATCCCAAAGTGAGAACCCTGCAGACAAGACTGAAATAGGAGCCAATTTATGTTTATGTTTCCACATTTACTTGAAAGTCCCAATATCTTCTTCACTTTCTTTTTCCTCTCTGCCCTCTCCCCAGTAAAATCTGTTTTGAACTGAGGTTGCTGTAAAATCAGTCATAATGAGATGCAAATTTCTGCTAATGTTGTAAAGTGCTCTCCTTTAAGTATATATTAGCTTTAACTAGCTGACAAATCTTATCCAAAGGGATGAACTTATAATGATGGAATTTCAGAAATTACCAGGCAAGTGTACCTACAATTTTGAAAGGGCCTAAAAAGAGATAGGCCTTTTTGGTTACTCCCAAACCATACCAACTCTTATGACCAGGTTTACCAATGAGCAAATTCATTGTTGCTAATATTCACATTTTTTTTTCTTTCCAGGGAACTAACAGATGTCATTGATCTCTCTAGGTTTAAAAACTTAAAATATTTATGGCTTCATCATAATAAGGTAGTATTATATTTTATCTTTAAATTATCTTAATTTCATGTTTTAATAGAGCTAATATTTAAAAGTTATATTTCATACCTAAAATTTAAACTTAGATAAAGACTATATATATATATATATATATATATCATATATAGCTGCTACATATGTATCTGGGATCTATATATCCATCATATGTGTACATGATATATTAAATAAAGGCAATCTGTAAGATTCTATCAGAATGCAGTTTGATGTCTATCTCTCATGTCCTGTTGAAATTGTTCAGTGGAGCATGTTTCTTTCCTGGATCCTGGGGAAAAAAAAAAAACTTTGATAATCTCATGTTTCCTCTCCTGGATAATACACAATCTTACAGTCTATTTGGTCATAGGCATAAGTTCAGTTCATAAATGGGAATACATTAATCAACTGTCTTTCATTCACAAATCTCTCTCTCTCTCTCCACACACACACACACACACACACACATACACACTCTACCCTAGCTAGGACTGACAGCAGATGGCCATCTGCCTCCCTTTTAAATAGGAAGGTGTGGTTGGCAATCTTCCTTCGCCATCATTTCTACCCTAGCCTTTCCCAGGTTTGATATGGAGTGTGTGGTGTGGAGGTAGATGAAGGGGAAGGCAGAAGTAAGGTTCTTTCCTTTGTACCCTCTAATACCAGCAGATGCTCAAGCTGACTCCTCTTTCTGGATTATTCCGTGGCCTACCTACTAAGCCTCTAATGCCTCTAGGCCTCGAACTATAATGCCCCCTGACCTGACTTTACTTTTATCTCAATGCCACTGGCAGCTGAGGGTTGCTAATAGATAAGTATTCCCTTAGGCAGAATACCTTGTTATGTGTTCCAGGTTAGCATTCCTACAGTAGGCCTGCGTCTATCTCCAAAGACTTATACACCATTGGACCTGCAGTCAGAGACCAAGAGGGTCAGTGCATCCAGTTGCTACCTAAACCAATTTAGCTTCCTTGAGAAGAATCAGGCACCAGCCCACCATACATTCACTCACCTACAGGGAAGAGGCCTAAAAGCCTCTTTTAGAGGCTAGAATTTAGGAAGAAGTTTCCTCCTACCCTCTCTCCCTCATCATAGAGGCCTGAGTGTGGGGCTCTAAGCTCTTTCCAAACCAAAGAGCAAGATTGAACTATCATTCAAAACTAGAAAATCCTTTCAGTTAACTTGTCATGAGGTTTTGAACTTTTAAAAATATGGCTTTCCAACAGTAATTTGTTCATTGTGAGTTGATAACTCAATCTTAGCATTTTGAATTTAGACTTCACAACACCAGCTGATAAAAATAATTGTTTCCATTAATAATCTGCCTTCATGCCCAAGTCCAGATCCACAGCACTGAGTCTTTAAACATCCATGTTTATGAAAATATTTCAATACTTCATTGCATTTTCTAATGTTTTTTTAAACAAACTGAGCAAAAAAAATGGAAAATGAAAGTGTTCTAGTATTAACTATAAGCCTAAGTTTCTTAAGCTTGAAGTAATTTTTAGGAGAACAAACACAAATACCTTCAAGGCCCAGGCAGCTTAATGAAATGGAAAGTGCACACATCACCTAAGGGCATAGAATTTCAAAACTTTTCTAAACACTCTGCCAAAAATTATCCTGGGTCATAGCATGTGACCTCTGATTAGAAAAAGATGGGAATCATCAGGCACGGCAAAAATGACTCATCTTTGTTTTTAGAGTGCGCTCCTTGTAGTGTTTAGTGGTTTTCAAATTTTGAAAGAAATAACATGTACAAATGTTGGCATTATGTCTTAGAAGGAGAGGTATAATGAGGGGTTTAGTAATATTTTTTCACTTTCTGGGAGTGGATGTTGTCTGACCTCCAGCCACTCATTGGATTTTCACACAGTTGACCTGCAGATGCATCATGCACACAGGAAAGATTGTGTGCTCTATCAACTATTTTATTCTTTTGTTTTTGAAGAGGATGGGGTAGGGAAGGGGGATACAAGAAGAGACTGAATTTTCTTCTTGTGTCTGATTGTATATATACAACAAATTCACTATATTTCTAAAACCATCATCACTTATGTTGTTCTTTAAGACACAGATTCTGTGTAGTCCATATAACACTGAAAAGATATCACTGCTAAAGCAGATTGTGAGATAAGTAAATAGGCTAATGTAAATTTTTTTTACTGATTGATAATTAACTGAGTGCTAAATTGCCTCAGCATTCATACTCCCAAACTCTTAACAGGCATATTAGATATTATGGTGCTAAATCAAAGTTCACATGTAAAATACTGTTTTCTTTAAAACCTAGATTGTACTAGATTTTTTTTTTTGCTCATCTCTTCATTTATTTTTGATTGTTTTTAAATTTATATATACAGATGAAATTCCCTGTGGGATATTTATACTTGCACTTATCATGATTTTTTAATGACTCACTCCACATTTCCTCCCTTTCTCTGTCCCTCCCCTCTGACTCTTGATCTCTTTGTATAACCCTGACCTTTCCTGGGTCTTTACTCTATCCTTCTTTTTCTCCTTCTTTCCCTTATTTAACTCTAGCTTCCACAGATGAGAGGAAACTTCCCAACTCTGATTTTCTGAGTCCGACCTGTCTCACTTAGCATGATGTTCTCCATTTCCGTCCATTTTACCAGCAAATGCCCTAATTTCACTGAGGAGAATTCCCCTGTCTGTAAAAACCAGAGTTCCTTAATCCACTCCTCTGTTGACAGGAGCCTGGTTTATTCCTTGGTTTAGCTGTTGTGAACTGTGCTGCTATAAACATTTAGGTGGCTGCACTCCTGCACTGTGCTGGTTTTAGATCTTTTTGAAAAACACCAAGGAGTGGGATGGTGGGATCACGTGGTGGTTCCCTTCCTAGTTATTTGAGGATTCTCCATGCTGCTTTCCTGGGTGGTTGCTTTCATTTGGAGGCCCATCAACACTATGTGAGTTACAGTTTACTTTACTTACATCCTCGCCAACACTTATTATTATTTGTACTCTTGGCATTCGACACCTGACTGCAGTGAGATGATACCTTAGTGTAGAGTTGACTTGCATTTCCCTGACGACAAGCATTTTTCGACATTTTTGCATATACACATTGGCCATTTATGTTTCTTCTTTTAATGTTTCTGTTTAATTTTTTGGACCATTTGTTGATTTGGCTACAATTTTTATTGTAATTTAGGTTGAATGTATTCGAGGTCTTTACCCATTCTTTACATATTTGAGGTCTTACATATACAGTGAATATTAATCTCCTGTTGGAGGAGTGGTTGGCAAAGATCCTCTCCCATTCTGTAGACTCTTTCTTCATTCCCTTCATCATTTCCTTTGCTGTGCACAAGATTTTTTATTTTTTATTTTTTATTAGATTGTACTAGATTGACCACCAAGAATATACCATACCACTGTAAAATGGTCTGGAAAATTTGTTGAACAAAATTAACATTGATATATGAAGATAAATATTTAGAATTATAATATTTTGTGAAGAACAATCTGATTTTTATGAATAACATCATTCTTACATTAGTTAACATTTTAGAGTCTATTTAGAAAAAAATAAGGCACAGTCAAATGAAGTGGAGACATCTTTATTTGTTTATTCACTTATTCAATCCACAATATTTACTGAGGTCTATGAAGACATTAGTGGTTGTCCACTCAATATCCATTCTCTCCTTTTTCCTATCCAACAAAATCTGGGTTTGGGTTTTGGAACATACTCTTCCTCCATTTCATTCCAGTAGGTGGCCCCGTTCAGATCCAGGGGCTGTATAAACCAACCAGAAAAATCCCATCCTCCTTTTCAGGGGCTGAGCTAGTCAATGAAAGGCTTGTAACCCAATTATAATGGGGACTTCAAGGCACATCTGCTGGGAGGCTTCTGGGAGAGCTTTCTTTATTCCTAAAAGAGAGTACAAGAAGAGAAATCCCTGTTCTCTCTGCTTGTTTTCTTGCCTGGACGTGAAGGCAGGAACTATCCTACCAACTTAATGAATCCAACATAGAGAAAAAGCCCAGAAAATCATGGAGATGGCAAGAGGGAGGCTCTCACAACACCTGAACTTCCTAATAGGTGAGATAATAAGTAAGTGCTCTTGTCTTCTGTGCTGGTTTGAATTGATCTTAGAAGCCACCTGGAGTCCAAGCATCCTAATTGATACTGCTTATTCTATGCTCCCATTAGACTCCTGACAGAATAAATGTGATGGTCCCCGATGTAGTGCCAGAATTAGCAGGGGCATACAGGAGTGACTGTGTTCCTGGTGAGGACATCGTGTTTGCAAGCTGCCTACAGTGAGAGAATGTAATAGTCGCTGGAGGCAATGAAGTAGTTTGGTAATTTGGGAGCCTAGCATCCTAGCATGGTAGAAAGATGCTTACTTCTTCCAAACATTTATCTAGTGGATGTCAAAACTGGACCTTCTGGTCTGAACCTGGAATAGATGATGAGGTAGACCCAGGTTTGTTTCTAAGTACCTCCACTGTCCCAGCTGATTAGATCTCCTCTGGCAACTCTGGGTTCTTTGCTGGTTTCATTTCCTCTCATACTTCACAGCTTTTTATTAGTACTGTGTATCTTCCCTTTTGGGGCTGGGTTTCCCTCATATCCCCTGCCTGATATATTTAGGGAGATAACTGTTCCGAGGTGCATATTAACTGGGGCTTTCTAAAGACTCCCTTTCTTGTCTCATTCTCTATTCAAGTCTGACTAAAGAAATTAGAGATCCACAGTCTCATCCCATCTGATCTCTCATGAAAAGTTGGGTATGGTTCAGACAGGCGATCTAAGTGATTCATATTTTATACATTTAGTATAGCACATACATATGATCTCTTCCTATTTTGGCTTTTACTTCGAATTTTTTCTTTTAGAGATTTCTAATATTGAGTTCTATATTTGTAATATTGGTGCCACTTGTTAGTATCCTTCTAATTCTGAAAGTACAGCAGTACTTTGGTATATTTTATTTTGTCTCAAGTTAGGATTAGCATTTGAT